GCGCACAATCTGGCTGTTGAACTCTTGCAAAAAGATCGGCGTCAGCGCAGGCACAGGCACAAAGTTCGGAATCCTAGGTGCATCAGTATCCACCTCCAGAAAGTCATCGGCGTTTAGAGCCTCAGTGGCCACCATGAACTCACCGCACTGGCTCTTTTCCAGCGTACCGTCATGCAGCCAACACCGCAACATCTTCAAGAATGGCACTGTGGCGCGCGCCAACAGGAACTCGTACAGTTGGCGCGCCGACACATCGCCGCCACGGTGGTTGATCAGATTCGAGATCACGTTCAGCGTGGTGCCGCCTCTGACATGGAACGTCTCTTCCTCCGCCTCCTGGCTGTCCTCGTCCTCGTCCGACTCGTACTCGTCCGGCACATTCGAGCGCTTATCAGCAAGGGTCGTGAATCCGTCGTCCTCCTGTGGCACATCGGCGGGCTGTGGGCTGACCTGAGCCTGTGTCTGCACGCGGTCAATCAGTAGCGCCAGGCGCTCAAACACTTGCAGCGTCGGAGCCACATGGAACCACACCTGCTGTAGCGTGAAGGGCTTTGTGCGCGTGGCGGTTCGCAGCCGGTGCTCGAGCTGGGCCACCAGAACATAGTAGTCTTTCAGCAGCGCCCGAATCGCCGCCGCCAGCGCCTGGTTCACAACACCGGCGCTGGCCCTGGCATACACGCGCACAAACCGATCAATACGCATGTGCAGCACAGCAACCGGAGCAATCTTCCTCGCCATCTCGCTCAGCACTGCGTTCATCCATTGTGGCACCTCCACGGCCTCATGGACATCCAGCTGCTCTCGCCAAACATTGCTGTCTGGCGCATGCCGGAACTTCATATACCGTCCGTTTGTGCGCATCATCAGCGACAGCAAGTCGTCGATGATGGCCAGCTCCTGTAGCGCCCCCTCCACGCGCTGCCTGGCCACCTCATTGTCATACGAGCTGTCGCCGATATCCTCTGCCTCTAGAGCCTGCATCCGGTGCATGTCCAAGAGCCGCGGCTCCAGGGGCGCCCGGCCGCGTCCGCGGGCACCGCGAAACGACGACTGGAACATATAATTGTCGGTCAGGGCGTGCATTGGCTCGGCGTCAGACTCGCCCTCAGAGTGTGTGGGCTCGCCGTAAAGCCCTTGGGGTGTGTAGTGCGAGGAGTTTGTGCGACTGCGGCGTGCTTGCTCGTAGTAGTGCTCGTAGCTGGCGCGTTTGACGGCAGTGAAGTTGTCAAAGTCGTCAAAGTCATCATAGTCGCCATACCCGTCGTAGCTCATGGCGTATACAAGGTTTCTGGTGGTGAATTGAAATGAAAGCAAAGAGTTGAGAACCGCCAGGCGCGACACAGCGCGCTTGCTTTTGTGCACACTGAAAACCACGTCGTGGCTCGTGATTAGATCGGCGAGCTGATCATGACGCGTTCATAACCAGGGATCATGTGAGAATATGCTCCTTGACTACTCTTTTGCTGCTCGCCAAAGCGCGTTGCTCGAGGGAAAGATCATATGCGCAGCATGGGCTATCCGCTAGAATGCATAGAGTTGCAATCCAAATACACCATATGCAAATGTCGCGAAGCTGAGGCTCCACCCGGCTTCACGCCCTATGGCATCCATTTGCTTGCCAAAAGCCTCGCTATGGAAATGCTGCAACGTTGGGTGCTAGGGTAGATAGCACCATGAGCAATATCAGCAACAGGATTCTGCCGCATCACTTTGCTGTCTCTTCCAGTCAACTTGCTGCCTTTTGTTTGATGCACAACCTCGCGTTCACGTAGTCCTTCACAGTGTCAGCATGCTCAGGTGCCTTTTGGATCTGTTTTGCTGCCTTGGATCAGGCATTTCAAGAACGGCAGTGCTCGGTCTCAAATGAGTGCTGGCAGAAATTTCCAGATAATTGCTCCTCGGCACAAACACCCGCCTCGACTAGCGGATCGACGGGTTCGCTGGTCTGAGGGCCGCCTTGTGCTGTGCTGTATGAGCTTGGCAGTGCTCTAAATGGAGGGCTTGCTCGCACTATCGGAGTTACCAGGCACGTGCAATCAACCTGGGGACCAATGAGGCTGCAGCCCGGACTTTCCGGGCGCAGGTGGAAAAATTATTGTCAACAATGTAATCCGAAAATTTCTTGGTAATTCCGGAAACAGTGCAGCTATAAAAGCTGCCTTTCATCTCCGCTTTTTTGTTTTTATCTTTACTTCACCACAGCTCTGGTATTCGATTCGTAACATCCCTAAAAACAAAATGGAAGCACAGCAGCAGCATCAGCACCCGTACTACCCGCAGTCGTCCCCGATGCCGCACTACCAGCCGTCACAGCTCAAGATGAGCGAGTCGCTCCTGACAGTTGGAGGCTCTGTCGTCGGCCTCAGTCTCTTCGCTGCGTTCCTTATTGGCCGGGCCAAGACGCCGTTGACGTGCAAGGACAAGTTCGTCACCATCTGGATGATGGTGTGCACTGGCATCCACATTGTGCTTGAGGGCTATTTCGTGTACAACCACCGGGAGCTGGCGGGCATGCAGACGCTGGGCGCCGACCTGTGGCGCGAGTACTCGCACTCGGACTCGCGGTACCTGACCAGCGACCCGTTCACAGTGATCATGGAGGGCATCACAGCGGTCTGTGACGGGCCGTTTGCTGCCCTGACGGTCTACGGTATCCTGACGGACTCGCCGGTGCGCTACGTGGCCCAGCTCATCACCTCGCTGATGCAGCTGTACGGTGACGTGCTGTACATGCTGACGAATGCCTTTGAGGGCTATGCGTACACGAACCCGCACCCGTTCTACTTTTACGGGTACTTTGTTATGATGAATCTGCCGTGGATCGTCATCCCCCTGTACCTGATCCGCGACGCGTGGCTCAACATCTACCGCGGCATGCTGATTGCAAAGCGCGCCACCACTGTGGCCAAGAAGAGCCAGTAATAAGAAAATCGAATAAATTTAAAAATAAAAAGTTAGGTGTTGATCTTGAATACCATCTCCAGGGCCATCCGGAACGGCCGCGCAAACTGCCCGCTGTGCAGCGAGTCGGCTATTGTGCATACGTCGACAAAGACCTGCTTCGTCTCGGTGTGCTTCCCCAATAGACGCAGCGAGTGGGCCGAGAGACACTGCGTGGATGCAAGCGGACTCGTGACTGATGGGGATGCCGGCACCTCGCACACAATACAGCACATGGGGCTACTGCACTGCTTGCTGCTGCAGCTCGCCGGCGGCTGCTCGCACACCAGCGAAACAGAGTCCAGCTCGCGCGACATGGCCAGCTCCTCGGCTGCCGCAAACTTATCCCACGCCTCATCGGCCTCGTCCGCCGCCAGCATGCTCTGCAGTACCCGGTACTGCTCGTCGGACCAGCCAGAGGCCATGCTGGCGATCCGCCGGCTCACAGCGACAAACTCGCGGAACCACCAAAACGCCGGCTCCTCGGTGAACTGCAGCCCGTCGGCGCCCTTCACAATCGCATGCAGAATCGCCAGCCTGGGCAACGCCAGAATCAGCTGCGGGTCCATTGACTCGACATCGTCTTCGGAAAACAGCCCCAGCCGCACCGAGCTCTGCATGGTCTCGCTCAGAAGCACCACCAGTAGTGCGAATTCCTCCTCCTGCGCTGCCGCCTGCCCGTCATCCAGCCCAAAGTATGCAAAGCACAGGTCGCGCTCGAACCGCACCCACGCCTCGTCAAAGTCCACCAGCACCGTACGCAATGCCTCGACGCTTTCGCCCCGCCATGTGCGCATAAGCGCGCTGGACCGCGCATACAGGACAAACCGCAGGGCGGCCCACGCCGAGCACAGCAGCCATGCGGGCTCGCGCAGCTGCACTGTGTATGGCTCGGTCCCGCGGATCTGGAACCCGCGTGCCAGCGCCTGAGCCGCAAACAGCACCGACTCGCTGAACCCGCGGTCCAGCTCAATCTGATCGTCCTCGGGCAGATAATACCGGTAGTGTCGCGACCGTCCCTGGCCAGCAACCTGCGTAAACAGAATATGGATACTGCACAGCAGCTTGCCCTGCCACATGTGGACGCGGTCGGCACGCGCCCGGAATGACGACGAACGCGTGCTTTTCGTCTTCTCCAGCTGCCGGATCGCAGAGTCCAATGAGGACTCGGCCGCAAGGGTCTCGCGCAGGGCCGTCTGGCATATCCGATCGACGCCCTGGGTAAAGAGAGTCCGCGGGATTGTCCGAACCATCCTCCACGCACGCTGCAGAACCTGGCCGCCCGCCTGCACCTGGCCAATGGAGAAGATCCGTGCAATGGCCGCTGCACTCGGCACCACAGGCATTGGCGTTGTCTGGTCTACGTACTCTTCTTGGTAGTACGGGGTGTCATCGCCGCGCTCCAGGCCCTCCTCTTGCGGCCATTCCTGGTAGTACGACGCATCTTCCTGCACGTCGCCAGAGATGGTCTCTATGGATTCGGGCATCGACACGGGCGATATTGGCAATGCTGGCGCGTCAAGGTCTGCGAGGGCCACGGGGCTCTGCACTACCTCGGGCTCCGAGCCGCTCTCCTCGGGGAGCTGCCCCGTGTGTGAAATATGGCTGGACCAGCGAAAGCTTCGCCGCCGCTCGCCCAGAAAACAATCAGGAGTTTCCACGCCAGCGGGGTCAGCTGGACAGCCCGCCTGCCCACGCCCAGCCGTGAGCCATTGCCGACACCGTATCATCGTGGGTGCTCCCATGATGGTGGACGACGATGCCGAGACGCTGGCCATAGGTTACAGGAGAGAATAAAAGTATAGAGCGGGTGGAGAGAGGAGGAAGGGAGGTGAAATAAAAAAGATTCTACAGCATGCAAGTGAGAAGAAAGGGAGGAGGAAGGGGAGAGAGAAAGAGAATGACCGTCGGCGATATAACCGCGAGTTCCTGGGTGAATTAAATCCTTCTCGCCACAAAAACAAAGCCCGTACAACAAGAAAAGCGTAAATAAACAGCTGGGATAAACTGAGAAAGCAAAGAAGAAAGCGTTGGCTCTACTGCTTCACGCACAACACGGTTGCACATTGAAGACTCGCCTACTCGTTTTGGAGCAAGAAGCCTGCAAGGATGCCGGGGCCCTATTTTCGCAAAAAGGAACTGAGCCCTCGGTCACGCAAAATAAAAAATCTCCCCCTCCTCCCCAAACGTGCTGGCAAGAAAAACGCAATGCTCTGCTTTACTGGCAGGTAAATCTATTGCAAAGATGTCTCTTTTTCCCCGTCTGCCTTGCACTATTCGAAAGAGCAAGGAAATAAGGGCTTGCATCTGTTTAGACTTTCACGAAAACACACGCCCGCCGATCAGTCCTGCCCCATAGAGTATCGGTCAATCATTGAGTCAAGAACCGTTCGATATTCGCGGACTGATTCGCGCTCAAACTCCTTGAAATGCCTAGACGCACCCGTGCCCACCAGCCCGTGGAGCATCTGCAAGTACCCGGCCGACTCGCTCGATGTGCACAGCGCGCTGGCCGCACAGACGATCCTTGGTCCTATTGACAAATGGATTATGAGTATTACCCGGACCTTGTCTGCAAATAATTGCTCCTTCCCCCCCACAACAACCAGGTCCATTCCAAATGTGTGCTGCGCAATTGTTCAGCCTTACTTGTCAGCTCGCCCAATGTGCTCACCGCCATTCTACGCCCATGCACGTCGATACCGCGGAAAATCTTGGGGAACGACCGGCTCAGCCGCACTGGGCTGTCCACCGGCACAAACGATGGTCCAGCCATGTCAATGTCAATGCCATTGCCAATAACCAGATGCCCCGATAGCTGCTTTGAATCGCGAATCTCTGAGCCAGAAAAGGCAACAAAGTCCTTGTTGAGGATCTGCCCCAGGTCCGTGCTTTCGGTGCAAAGACCCGGCGCCAGCATCAGATCCGCTAGCTTGAAGTGCTCTTGCTGCGTCACTTGACTCACAATTTCATCAAGAACTCGGCGTCCCGCACTATTCCAAGAATCAATGAACGCACCGGTCCGCTTTCAGCAATAATTGGAAATTTGCAGTAAATTAGGAAACCTGCGCCTCGTGTTTACTTACAGTAGTCCGGTCCCCCACACGTCCAGTCCCATTGCCATCAGTGCACTCGAATGATAAAAGCTGTCTCCCTACAAGTGACCCCGTCGGTATAGTACGTCCTGTGCTATGTTGTACGTCACTGCTACTGTCGTCGGGGGGATACTTACCTGAATCTGCACGCCTGGAAAAAGCTTGGCCAGACCCGATGGTACCGACACTGGCACGTACATTGACACGTTCTCCAGATTGGCTGCCAGCGACACCGCTGCATCCATGCCCCTGCCCCTGTCCATATCCTCGACTATGGTGTTCCCGATGCTATACAACAGCACGCTCTTCTTTGGATACTCATCGCGGATCCGTGCCAAGTACCCGCATCCATACCCGGCAAACCCGCCATACATGTCCGCCATCACCTGGAATCCCTGCAGGCAGTCACAGTCTTCGGCAACCCGTCTAAAGTCGCCATCCATGACGTCGTCTGCGCGATCCTCACCATCAATCACATCCAGCCCTTCATGGAATGTGTTCATCTCGCCCAGACTGTTGCCATGGGCGATGCCCGACACTGGGTGCAGGCTATGTGAGCTATACCGCACCTCGCCAAAGTCCGACCAGAATCGGATATCACGGGGTTCAATCTCGACCGAGTGGTCGCGCTGGAACTCCGACGTGTTGGGCTGCTGGGCACGATGTGTTTCGGTCTGACCCTCCCACTGCATAGCGATCTGCCGGGTTTCATCCTCATTGCCGTCCTCATCACCAATAGCAAGCAAGCCAAAATTACTGGCCGTGTCAAACGCCAGCAGGCGTGGGGTACGTTGGGCGGGTCCACGGAGGGCGGTGGTCTCGCGGAACAGCACGTCAGTCGATAGGCCTGGGTCATCGAGTTTTTGCTGCTGCATGTTCCAGTAGTGCGTGCCAACGTAGTTGGCGCTTTCGCCAAACTGCAGCGTGATTACCTCGTGCATTACTCTATATGAAAATGAGAAGAATATAAGCGTGTCCACTGACAAAGCTGGAATTCTGGTGCGCAGCCATGACAAGATGGGCATATATGTATGCACTGAGCAATTTATGGGCGTGTGAAATTCCAGCACCAGTGCTACTGCCACTGAAACATGGGCGTCGATGCGTGCAGGCAGATCAATAAATGTCTTAATGCCTATAAATTTATTTATTGAAAATCAAGAAAGAAAAAAGAAATGAGACTTCATGGCATAACCATTACAAAGTGCTAAAACTAAAGGTTGCAATGTCTGCCACGTTCTTTTCCTTCAAAGCTGCCACAATTAATTCCTGCTGAGAGTTATTGGTGATACCACAAATAAACGAGAGATTGTAATACTTCGCAACAATTGTCTCCTCGGCGGCACATGAATGGTAATATCCTCGGCTACCCGTTAAGCATGCCCTGCATGTTGACTTTAGCTGTGTATAAAGGGCGTTTTTTAAGTAGGCAGATATATCACTCCAAGAGCCCATATCAGCAATAGCACATCTGATGGCTGGCGAATCATCCTTCAAAGCTTTCAAGGCGAATGCAGCAACAAGAGCAGCCTTTGCTGAACCCCAATCTTCAGTATCGACTATATGTTTTTCTAGGAAGTATCTAACAAGCGGGGATACATGGGATGCAGTGTAGGTGTGCCAGTTGCTTAGGAAAAAATCCTCATCAGAAATAAGCCATGGAATGAACTTATCCAAGTATGAATCAGGGCTCGTCACAAACTCCAATGAGTTGAAGGTAGTAGCTGCCGAGTCCAAGACTCCACGGAAATATGTTTCATGTTCTCTGATAGCTGTCAATTTGGCATCATGGTTAAGTGCCCTGATATACGCCTTTATGGCGCTATCAAAGCTAGCGCATACCAGATCAACGTTTTGTATGACGTCAGTAAACAGAGTATTGCGTCTAATAACACGGGCTTCCGCGTCCTTAATGCTACTGGCATCGTAGTTCTGGAGAGAGAGACCGGCAAACTCCTGGCAAGCTATATTGGAATATGCCTGCAAAAAACACTCTTCATGGTGTGACTTGGTAGCGACACGTAATTTAACGAGGGTGCGCAAGTACTGGAGAGGAACTATATCGTTCGCATCACTGACTTGTTGCTCTTTATCGGCAGGTAAATTGCTGGGAGGTATCTCTGGTGTATGGGCAGTCGCAATAGAGGCACTATCAGCATCCTCTACCACAGAATAGTCGTCAGGGTCAATGCCCTTGATGATGTTTGTCATGGGGAAGGAGGTTCAATAATAGGTAGGGAGAGCAAATAAAATATACCTGGCAGTTCGGGGCTGAGGCTTCGATGTCAACTACTCTCACGATTCGCCTTTTTATAGACTTTTTGCTAGCTGATTTTCTGTCGCAGGCAAGAGGCATTTGCTTACTTTGTGATGTGAAAACTTTACAATGCACTCGGCACTTGGTTCCAAGCATACAATGCGAGCTCGGCATGTGGAGGATCCACAGCCAGTTTTGGTACCGCTAATGTGTGTCACATATTGCCCGGTGGTCTGACAGATCCGGGGCGATCATTGCAAGATGCTCCTGGAATAGACACATGGCGTTCGGCTCCTTTGCATGTCAGTTTGCCACCATACAGAACTCATAGCCACTCAAACTCAAATAAGCCGCTTACACTACCGAATTTATTCGGAACTGGTAGCCATTTGCCATGCAATGTAAACAGGTCACAGAATGTCAAGAAACTCCATGTCTATGAATCCGGTGTTGTAGCAAAGCGGTGAACCGGCAAATTCAGCATCCATGTACCCGCTGTAGAGGGCCTTGGGAGGCATAGTTGTGCTCTGTCTAGCAGGCATCCCAAGGTTAGGTACAGCATGGCTATTTCTGAGAGCACGACACCCATTGTCTGGCAAATTCGCAGCATCTCTGAAACAGGCACCGCATCCCTCCAGAAATTATGTCCCTAGCACGGCTTTCCAGCAAATCGACATGCTGTTCTATGACTCTATCCAGCAGAGCACACATAGTATTCACTTGCTGAGCGATATTGCTGAACTTTTCAGTGTGGCTTTTAGTCTTTCCTCTGTATCAGCAATAGCACAGAAGTTGAAGCTTCGGGAAAAGTTGCTGGTATATTCTGCCGAAACCATTTCCCCATATGCTAACCAACAATTATATAGAGGCATGTCTACCTCAGTGTATTTACCATTGAATATGCTGAACATGATTAGCTAGTATCTCGCTCCCAGAGCTACAGAATACCTGTGCTGACTCGCGTGCGTAATCCGATTCAAAAATCACCTGCACGCTTTCCTGCCAGAACCGAGCAAAAAGATATTAGAATGCAGTAGCATCGCCTGCTGGCCCCAGTGACCGCAGTGGTAATAGCTATTTCGTGTCTTTACGAGCAACGGCCGTAATTTCTGACTGCACAAATGAACTGCAGAGTTTTTTTGGAGGGAAGTAGAATGCCCTGTGTGCTAAAGGGATCTGGCTAGCATTAGTAGTGCCAATGATATATAAATGCTATCGTTTTCTGTATAGAAATCGCCGTCAGTATATCACAACCACCTACCTCACCCGACAAGCTCGTTTTCATACTTCAACAATGAACGGATTCACCCTGACTATTGCCGCCATTGCTACTTCAGTTGTCTCGGCCCTCCCGCTCTATGGCGGCGGATACTACCCTGGTATGCAGTCAAGCCACCACAACGCTGGTGCGTACGATAATGGGGCTACCACGAACATGTCACCGTTCGGCAGCAGCAGCAATTCGTGGAATAACGGATTCTCGTCGACACAAGACAGCGCTGCTTCACCATTTGGCAGCTCTGGCAGCTCATCATTCAACCAGTGGAATAACAACGCGTGGTCCAACAACTATAGCCCTTATGGATTTTACGGCGGGTATGCCCCCTATGGTGGGTACGGCGGCTACGGCAGCCGCTGGTAACCCTAATAATTATTCCTGGCATGGGTATTTTAACTGCTATGCTTTCTGTGTGCGCATCAAAGACGAATAAACTTTTTAAACTATTTCCACGAGAAAACCGATGCCTGACATGTACCGCAAACTTTGCCAGTATACTGCCTCAAAACTGATCACTTGAATAGGCTATAAAAAGGAAAGCAAGCTGGTGTGAAGGTAGAAGGTTTGTAGAAAATTATCTAAATGTAAAGCAGAGAAATAGACTACTTTTCGGAGGATAACGTACTGGCTAGCTCAAAGTTCTCGAACGAAACTACCAATCGTATCCATAGCTTTTGCAGACTCTGGCCGGTATGAGAATATCAGCTGGAAAACATGCGGCATCCCGTCGTATACGTCGTGCTGAACGATTCCAGGTGTATCGGGATTCTGACTCTTGATCTTTTCATACAGGGCAGCATTGTCATCGTACAGGAATTCGCAGCTACCACTTTGGATTAAGGTAGGCGGAAACCCGGCGAACGACCCAAAGATTGGTGATACCAGGGGAGACTCGAGCTCCTTCTTCATCTGCTCACCCAGCGGCTGTCCAGGTGCGTACATGATGCGTATAACAGACATTGGCGATTCAAGGGGGTAGTCGACAAGGCAGTCGAAGTTTTCGGCAGTGCCATAGCTCGGTTTAGCATGCCGCAGATTTGATACGGGCGAGACCAAAACAATACCTGCGGGTGCTGGGGAGCCAATGCCACGAAGCAGATGCACTAGCGAAAGCGCCAGCTGACCACCTGCGCTCTCTCCAAAGACAACTATGCGGGAAGAACTGAATCCCTGCTTGAGTAGGAAACAGTAAGCGATATACGCATCATGTACGAACGCTGGAAATGCGTGTTCAGGGGACAGACGGTAGCCGACGGAAACCACCCGGGCGCCTGTGACCTGGGATAGCTCCCCTGCGAACTCTCTGTGAGTGTCAATACTTCCGCGCACCCAGCCTCCGCCATGGAAAAAGAGAACAATTTTCTCACCCTGAACCACAGGTACTGTGTCAAGCAACCTCTCACTGC